GAGAGAGAGAGAGAGAGAGAGAGAGAGAGAGAGAGAGAGAGAGAGAGGAGCATGTGCATGCAGGCGTGCTATGTTCTGAGTATTTGCCCCCTGTGAAGTTCATGTGTTAAAACCTGGTCACCAAGGTATGAGGCATGACCTTTGGGAGGGAAATAGCCATGAGGGCAAAGTTCCTATGAATAATAACATTAGCACTGTTAGAAGAAATCCCCAAAACCATTATATTTTATATAATTCAACAAAAGTATAGAATAGACTTAATAAAAATAAATACAAAATTCCAAGTCTTAAAAGAAATTCCAAGGGCTGAGCCAGTCTCTTCCACCATGTCTGTGAGAATACAGCAAGAAAGTCCCATTTATGAAAAATGAAATTCTCAGCCAACAATGACCTGCTTTCACCTGGATCTTTGACATCCAGGCACCAGAATTATGATCAATGAATTTCTGCTGCTTATAAGTCATTCAATCTATGGTACTTTTGCTACAGCAGCTGCAGCAGAGTAAGACAAGATGCAAACAATGATTCTTAAGTTTTCATTCCTTAGCAGATTCACATACTCAAGGGAACCTTTTAATTTTTTAAGATAAAGTCTCATGAGTCCCAGGTTGGCCTTGTAGCTTAGGATGAGCTTGAATTCCTGAACCTCCTGTCTCTATTCTTTAAGTGCTGGGATTATAGGCCTACACCATAATACCTGTTTTTTGTTTGCTTATTGTTTGTTTTGTTTGGTGCTGGGCATGGGACCCAGGGTTTCTACATACTATGTAAGTGCTCTGTCAACTGAGTGACATCTCCAGCATCACAAAAGAATTTTAAAATGCAAATTAAGGGGCTAAGGGAAATCAAGTCCCTACTAGAAAGAGAGTGGGGAGAGGGTATGGTTGAGCTGGATAATCCATGGAACTTCAGATTGGTAATGGAAATGAGGAAGGCAGCCCTTACTGCCTTGCCTAGCTTCCTCCTAGGCTTAGTGAATACTCTATCTGCCACATCACTGTTCCATGTTGCATTGAGACTGTAGTCTCAGGAGCATACTATGTTCATTGTTGAGGAGCATCCTCAGGTACACATGTGACATGGGTTGTACAGTCAGTCGTCCTACTGGGGAACATCTAGTTGGGGGCCCTTTAAGACACAAGTTGTCCTGAATGTATTCGTGGTATTCTGAATTTCTCTTGAGGAAACATATATGAGTGAAACCCATATATATGTGTGTGTGTGTGTGTGTGTGTGTGTGTGTGTGTGTGTGTGCGTGTGCATGTGCACGTGTGTGTGTGTGTGTGTGTGTAATCTTGGGTCTCATGATGGTTGTTCAGTTAACCCTTTTAGATACTGCCCAGCCAGTGACACCTGTAGTGTCACAAAAAGCACAAGAGCTGTCCATCCTCCTCATCTGCAACAGAGCATGTGATGGTCAGACTTTTGTTGTTGTTGATCTAGTCATTCAAATGGATGTTAAATGATGTTTGGAAAATTTGCAAGGTAATTGTTAAATGTTAACATGTATTAGAAATTAAGTTATGTAAACAAGCAAGATATGGCAACATCAGCTTGTCATCCCAGCACTTATGAGGTAGAAGCTTGAGGATCAGGAGTCCAAGGTCAGCCTTGGCTACATAGGGACTATAAGACCAGTCTAGGATACATGAGACCCTGTGTCCAAAAATCAAGAATAAATGAATAATATAAATGAAAACTTAAGTAAGTTATACTTTTAAAAAAAAAGAAGAAAGGAGCTATCCAGATCTATCACATCTTAACTAACCACATTTTACAATTACTCTGTATTGATAAACATCTAGCAGATCACAGTAGAAATCAATGCTGTAGTGTGATGCCACTGATCTATTCTTGTATAACTTTGTACATACTCCATTTCTCCTCCTATTTGGCACAGTGACAGAGCTATCCCACAGATGTCAATGGGCCAGGACACAGCAGTGCTCACTTTATTACTGCTTTGTTGACTGTCCTGGCATGAGAAAATAATGGGGAACATGTTAATACTACAGATTAAATCAGGGAGCCACTTTTGTGGTCACATCATTGTTGGTAGTGTGAACGTGAAGTTTTAAGATATATCTCTGGTTATTTACCTTCAACTTACTCATTAAAAGAAAGGAAACTGTGAGCCGACCAGTGCTTATCATGGGTGGGAAACACATATGCATGCACACACAGACATTTACTTTTTTGGAAAGCCAGTTGGAATGAATTCATCAGCACATTACTACTTTAGAGGCAGGTCTCAGATTGTCTGTGTCATATGGAAAGACACTTAATGTTTTACCTGATCAGTCTAAGTGGGCAGGGAAGACTTAGGCACAAACACCCAAGACCATTAGGCCGAGGGTACTTGGATGGTTGAGGCAGAAACTTCAGCCTCAGGGAGGGAAATACACAAAACAAGACCACTGTGGAGGTGTCATAAGGTACAAAGAGGGCAGCCAGCTGATCCTGGAGTTGAGCCTTTCTAACTTGTCATATGTAGTAGCAGGGACAGTATTGTAAGGGCACCACTTTCTTGTATAGGCTGCTCACATGAGCCTGGCCAGAAGGTAAAGAGATCAGGCCTGAGAGATACAACAAACACACAAATAAGACTTTGCCTCTCTTCTAGATACAACCCTTTGTAACCTCCACTGCCCTCAGTCTCAGCTAGGCCATGTGATTATTCTCACACAGCCATCACCAGCGTTCTGGCCTTCTTACCCTGCCACCACAGACACTAAACCCTCTCTAGTCATTTTGACCTACTTAGGGGTTCCCAAACAGGCCAGGCTGGCTTGAGGCTGGAGGCTTTGCTCATGTGAGTCACTCTGGGGTGTGGCCACCCCACCCCTTCTTATTTGCCCCAGCATTTGGTGACACAGCTCTCACCTGGTCTGACTTCCCACAAGACAGGAGTACCTCAGGGTGGGGCTCTACAGGCAGGTCACCAAAAACCTGAAGTCCAGCTGAAGCAGCTGGTAAGAAGTTGCCCAAATAAATCATTCTGTGAAGGTCTGAGAGCTGGCATGAGTGCCATTCTCATCTATGCCTCAAGTCAGCTTGGCCTGGATGGTCCCTCCTGTGGTATTCATGTGCCATGTCCACAAATGATTAGAGATGCCTGTCTTTCCTAGTGCCCAATTATCAATTCACTGCTGCTACTTTGCTGAGCAGGATCAGAGGAGGATGAAGGTAAAGGTTGGAGCTGGACATTGAATAAGGAAGGTATGGACTAGCTCTCTGCAGGCTCAGTTACTGCTTTCAGTTCCCTTCCTGGAGGATTCAGCCTGATTATCTCAAGGGCCTAGCAAAGAGGGGCAACACTCAAGGGGACCATGAGACATACCAGAGAGATAACCAGGGCTAAGGGTCCAGCACTCCTACCTATTACAAGCCCCTTTTGAGAATCTTCCCCTCTACATACTCACAGAGCTCACCACAGGTCAGGCCCATCTGTGCCTTGGTGGGATAATTTTGGGTATGGACAGAGAAAAGTCTGGCCAGTAAGTCAGCTGGTAAATAGTTGGTGATATTTATTGAGAAATGGGATGAAAGATGGAAGCCCTGAAGGAGCAACTTGTAGGAACTCACAGCCTGGCCAGAGGGTGCCCAACTGGAAGTGGAACACAGAGTAGGCTCTAGGATCCTGTGACCAAGTAGGCCAGGGCTGAGGAAGGCCACAAAGGTGCTACAGAGGGCAAAGATGTAGTTCAGAGCCTGGATGAATGGATGGCTCAGGCATTCAGACCTCAAGGCTTGGACCATCTGGTGGCACATACATGGGCTGAATATGAGCCCAGCTGCGGGCCTCCTCATCTGCCCAGGCGAGCAGCTCAGGAGCACGGTGTAGGAAGATCAGAAGCAAGGTGTTCACATCACCCTCTGCTGAATGGGCAGCACTGGGTTCAGCCTGGAAGTAGCGGTGGAAGAGACTGGCCAGGCTGTAGCTTTTGCGGCCTTGAGCCCTGGTACCATGGCTGTGACCACGGTCCAGGCCCCGCAATGCAGGCAGTGTGTCCAGGCAGACAGTGTCTTGGGGCAGATGGGCACCCAGACGTTGTAGCTCCGTGCACAACAGTGGGAAGTCATAATCGAAGCCATTGTGGGCCACAAGGCAGATGGGGCCCTCCTGGCGGCTCAGGAAGCCCTGCAGTGTCCTCACCACTGCTCCATTGAAACCAGCCTTCCGACAGTGCATCAGGCTTTCACTGCTCAAACCAGTAATCTCACTGGCCTTGGCAGTAAAGGGGCGCTCTGGGCACATGCACAATGTGAGCTTGTCCAGTACACGGGGCAGCACCAAGGAACCAGAATCATCCCGTTCTGGGTTCTCCAGGGAAGAGCGGTGAACAGCAAAAAGGGATATCTCTGCAATCTCAGGATCCATGTTTGGGAGCCCAGTGGCTTCCAGGTCCAGGAATACAAAGGTCTCAGCCCGTGGTGGCTCAGACATGCTGATGTTCTCACAGGAACACTGAGGCCTAAAGCTGCCAGAACAAGTGGCATAAGCCAAAGGGCTAAAGACATGGGAGCAAGGCCCTGCTGCCTATAACTACCTCAAGTCAAAGCTCTATCACACAGAGCCTCACTTCCTGCTGCTCCACCCACCTCATGAGGCCTTTGGTGCTAGTAGTAGCTTCTGATGCATATTCATATCTAGGGACACTTTGAAGGGGGGAAGTCCATGGGGCCAAGATCTAGTGACCAGGATCTGTTACTGATGTCCATCCTTCCTCCTCCCTTTCCTGGGTCTCTCTTCAACCTAACCTTAGTTCTATTACCTAACCAAAGAGGCATAAAAGAAAGTGCCTAGACTTTAACCCAGGACCTGCTTCCTTTTGCTGCCAGGCCCAGATCTAGCCATTGACCCCATCAAGGAGGGGCACAGATATAGTCCACAATTGGTGCTTTGGCCCAGCCCCTTGGTGGAAATACCTTGGCTGGGAGCTTCAGGCATTATGTCTTGCTTTCTGCCTTTAGATTTCAGGCACCAGAGGAATCTGACATGGGAACCCTGGTCTCCCCAACCTTTTCTCTGAAAAACAAGTGCTGCCTCAAGCTGGCTTCTACCTACCTCTAGGCTCGTGGCTTTATCCACCTATCCCCACCACACTGGCTTACCTGGGGTGGGCTTCAGCTGGCTTCCTGGGATGCTGGGCACCTGTCTCTGCATAGGCCACTCCAGGCAGCCTTTAATCAGAGGGCATAGCCCGCCCCCAGCCGCCAGTTGGGCAACCAGGAGGCCAGAGGCTGCAGGACCTGTACAGCCGGCTTGCTTGCCACCCCCTCGTGAGCTTGTAGCCAGCAGGACACACGCCCCATGTTTACAGACCAAGAAGTAGGCTCTGACTGCACACAGGCTTCCAATGAGTGATGAGCACTGTCATGAGCCAGAGGAATGTGTCCTCAAAGGCAGGAGGAAGTCAGAGGGTGGTGGAAGACTGTGGCTTCTGCTAAGCCCTACCCCCAAGTCTCATCAGATCTGGGTTGTGGTTGCCAGATCAGGACAAACCAGGTGCCAGTACACATTCCATACAGACAATAGGTCCTCTTCTCTAGGGCTTGGTTTCCTCCATCAGTGGGGACCTGACTGCCCTTTATGAGATTGCTACAACCTCAGGAGTGACAGAAGCACCTACTTGTGCTTTGTTTAGCCTTTGAATGGGAAGATATGCTGAGGACAAGGCCTCGGTTTTGTTTCAGTGAACAGGGAGGGTCTTCAGGAACATCTCCAATGTGAACACTACCTGGTTGCAGCTCACCACCTTCTGGCCCCATCTTCCAACAGCAAATGAGGATGTGATCGCTACTCTAGGTGTATGACATCCAAGGGTTTGACACTCCTGGGTCTAACACCCAATGTTTTCCAAGCATTTATTTAGTAGAGTTGTGGAGAAGGCAGGGAGGAAAGGCAGGAAAAGGGAGGCCATGAAGCAGTGAGGCCTGACCCACACAGCCCTGAGGGTATAGCTGATCCAATTCTTTCAATTTCAGAAATGGAAAGAGGTGACTGGGAGACCTCTAGGACTCTAAGACAGTGGTTCTCAACCTTCCCAGTGCTGCAACTCTTTAATACAATTTTTCATGTTGTAGTGACACCCAACCATAAAATTATTTTCATTGCTACTTCATTAAGTATAATCTTGCCATTATTAATTATAATGTAAATATCTGATATGCAGGATATGTGACTCCTTAAGGGGTAGCGATCCACAAGTTAAGAACCACTGCTATAGTCTTCCTGTCTCACTTCAGCCTTTTGGATGCTGGAGTCATTGATAGGTGTCCTACCTTGATTTGTTTTTGTCTTTCAATCAAAAGTTTGGTCACCTGGATTTCTTTTCTCCATGCTTCTGTAGGCCCCCGAGTCTACGATAAGGTGACTCTGCCCCTTCTTGGTATCATGGTCTGCACTACTCTCACTGATAATGGCTGCTCACTGTGCTGCTGTGAGACTAGGAGTGGGTACTGTGCCTTCTAGATCTTTGTATCCCTAAAGCCTAGCACATAGTAGATATTTTCAGTACATGTTTATTATAAGAATGAACATAGAAGTGTACTTTCTGTCTCTCCATACTGAAACCCTTTCGGAAGCCATGCCTAATTTGGGCAGCATGTAGCAGTATTTACCTCAGGTTGTCTTTCTTGTCCATGGACTCCTCCAGACAGCATGGTCAGTTGGAAGAATTGTCCTATGTTTTAAGATTATCTTGGAATTGAAGTGATTGCCCTGGAAAGATGAAATACCAACCACATGGAAATGATGGATGCTAAACATTGTTATATATTTATGTTATATATTTATACCAAATAAAGGGGCAGGTTGGGAGATTAAAAAAAAAAAAAAGAACCACTGCTCTAAGGCCTTTTCTGCTTCATCTAAGAGGCAACATCAAGATGTGAGAGTGGCCAGAAGGCTGGAAGGTTATCCATGGCCTCTAAAGCTATGGCTGATGTTGTACCCACCCACTGCAGCCACTCCTGGGTCTTTCCATAGAACAGTTGGTTCAGCTGGACAATAGAAAACAAGGACCTGCTTGCTCATCAACCTTTCCCAGCAGTGTCTAAGCAAGAAGGGCCTAGCACCCAGCTGTCCAAAAGTACTCAGGGAGCCTGGAGGAGCAAAGATGCAGTTACAGGAGCAGGGTAGGGCAGGCAGCCTCGGGTGTGATAATGGGCCTCACCAAGTTGTACTTGTTCCGGTGCTTGAAGGGAGGGAGGTGACTATGACAGGTACACTACTCAAAAAGATACTGGGTCACTGTGGGAATCCCAGAGAGCCGTTTCCTGGATAACCAGCCAGGCCATGGTGAGAATTCCCCACTGGGTGCTAGCACCGTAGAAACAGAGGAAGAGACAGGCTCCCAAAAACATGACACAGGGGGCCTTTGTGGAATCCTGAAAAAGATAGGAGGTGAAGGGCACATGAACAGGGAAAGGGGTCATGTCAGGGTGCAGAGGAGACCTCTGGGACTGGATAGGTAACCAGGCAGTATCCGGAAGGAACAGAAGCAGCAGAGAGAGGAAAGGCCAAGACCCACTGGGGTAGTAGAAGGCCTGCCACCAGGCTAACCTAGAATAGTAAGTATGAGGACAGGAAGGGAGGTTGATCATCCCAGGCTAAAGAGTATGATACGTAGAAACAAACAGTAGTCCGAAGGCAACGTCTCAGGGCATGAGTTCCTTTTATTTCTAGCTTCCCTGTCCTACCCATCTCTGCCTACCTTCTCTACCTCCCTCTTCTTCCTTCCCTTCAAACTGCAAGCACAAGCAAGTAGAAATACATGCAGGTTATGAATAGGACTGGAACTGCCCCTCCTGACAGCTCCAGGGAGGGCTTTATACCCCCACATTATCTTGTGCCTCTGTGAAATCTGTCAGTGAGGATCTTGTACTTCTGTGTTACTTCATCAATCCTGGCAGCTGTATAGAGAAAGAAATATGAACAGTCAAGAGAGTAAAAGGCTAGTAGGCTTGAAAGAGGCAGAAGTTGGCAGTCTATACAAGACCCATTCCTTTCTGCCTTCCTACCAGAGCCTCTGTCCTATCTATTCTGCTCAGGCTCTCACTAGGCATGACCCGGTGATAGAAAGGAAAACTCACACCTGGTCCTCAAGGGGCTGAGGGGGGTGGAGGGGGGTACAACTTCTTCTATGACCCAGAAACACTGATCGGAGAGCTGCTAACTGCTAACAGGACCTCTTGGCTGGTGGTACTAACTAGGCTAGCATCTTGGAGTCCCTGACTGGGTCACACTGACCATAATGTATGTCGAAGTTCAGGCTAGGCTAGGTTCCTGCTACCTCAAAGCCCAGGAGTTGTTTCAATGGTGAGTTGTTTTAAATCTGATACCAGTATGTGCACACAGTAACAAAGCCAGCAACAAAGAACTGATCTAAGGCTTTCAGAGCAGTGGTTCTCAACCTTCCTAACACTGCAACCCTTTAATACAGTTCCTCATGTTATGGTGACCCCTAACCATAACATTTTCATAGCTATTTCACAACTGTAATTTTGCTACTGCTATGAATTGTAATATAAGTATCTGATATCTGATCCCCAAAGGGGTCACAACCCATAGTTTGAGCACCACTGCTTTGGGGGACATATCCTATAAAAGCATCCACTTCCAGGACCCGGACCAGACAATTACTAGGTACACAGTAATTAATTTCTGCCCAATTTAAGTTCTGCCTTTGTTTGTTTTTAACATGTATTTCTGTTTTAAGGATTTATTTATTTTATGTGTATTAATATTTTGACTGCATATATTTATGTACACTATGTGCATACTTGGTGCCTGAGGAAAACAGACTTGAACCCAGGTGCTCTGCAAGAGCAGCCAGTGCTTTTAACTGCTCAAATAAATCCAAGCTAACTACCAGTACTAATATGCCCTAGTCACCAGTGAACAGGCACACTTTTAAGGCTATTATTGATCATTATTGTAGAAATGATAGCATAGATTATGAATAATTTATTAATATAATTATATGGACTGCAATAAGAGCCACAGTGACAGTGATGATTAGGGTAAATGCTATAATAAATTTTAAGATGGAGGCTCCTCTTACAGCTCAATAAGCAAAAAGAGATTTCCAAGTACCTAGTATACATGTGGCAGATGTATGCCAGGGCAGAACATAGAAAGAAAGCCGTCAGCCAGAGAGAATCTCAATCAAGGCCTACTTGTACAGGCCTATAGTCCCAGGTATATAATCTCAGCTACTGGAGAAGATGAAGGAGGAGTATCACAAGTTCAAGGCCTGCCTGAGCAACTTAGTGATACTCTGTCTCAAATTAAAACTTAAAGAAAGAAAGAAAGAAAGAAAGAAAGAAAGAAAGAAAGAAAGAAAGAGAGAAAGAGAGAGAGAAAGAGAGAGAGACAGAGACAGAGAGACAGAGAGACAGAGACAGAGACAGGGAGGGGGGAGAAAGTAGGTTGGGAATATGTTCAATAGCAAAGTACATGGCGGGGGGCGGGGGGAAGTTCCCAAAGGAGACAGCATAAAGGCTGTGATCTAACATCACTACTTGGAAAAAATCAGTAAAAACAATTATAGTCAATTGTTTTACTTGTTGTATACTGAAACAGTCAAGAAAAATAATACACTTATTCAAAAACTTGGAAGGAAAGACTAGGGAATAAAGGCTGGGGAGTAATGTTGCAGAAGTGTGAAAATACCCAGAAGGAGACTCCAAGTCCTCTCCCTGGCTGACCCTGAGACTTTGAGACAACAAGAAGTAGAAGAGAAAGATGTGCCAACTGCTTAGCAGTTGATGAACAAAAGGAATCTAGAAAAGTCCAGAGACCTCCAAAATGGGCAAACTTATAGGTGTTAAATTTATAGGAGTTCACAGAAAGATACATAATCAAACTGGCAAAAATCAGAAGCTATCAGAAAAAGGGGAAGTGAAGAGACCTGTTACATTATAAGAACATTCAATAAGAACACAAATTTGTTTCATACCAGAAGCTATGAAGGTCAAATGACAGTGGGATGATATATTCAAAGTATGGAAGAACTGCCATCCAAGAGCAAAGAGCAAAATGAAGGGGAATAAAAGATGTCCATGAAAAGATTTTTGGGCGGTGGGTGGTGGTTAAAATACAAATATAACTAGGCAAAGTGTTGTAGAATGCTAACTCGCAAGTGGGAAATGTGTATCATACCTCCAACCCCCTAGGCTCAGGAAACATCAAGAAGGAAGAGGTGGAAAGACTGTAAGAGCCAGAGGTTAGAGAGGACTCAAGCAAAACAGTGTCTTCCGGACATAACAGAGATACTGAACTCATGACTCACAGTGGCTGTGATTGCTTACACAAGATCAAGCTTCCAACATTCTAGCATGAAGCTGGCGCAGCTCACAAGCCCACACCCTAGTGAAGGAGCTCTTGACAGTTGATGGATGCTGGGGTAAGGAAAATCAGTTTTCTTTAAGAATGTGTCCCCTTCATATGAGGGTTTGTGCCCAGTCTTATTGCAACTAGTTATGCCATGTTCAGTTGATATTCCTAGGAGGCCTGCTCTTTTCTGAAGGGAAATGGAGGTGGAGTGGATCTGGGGGAGAGGAGAGGTAGGGAACACTGGAAGAAGTGGGAGAGGGAAACCTATAATCAGAATGTGTTGTATGAAAGAAGAATAAATAAAAAGAAAAAAAAAGAATGTGCCCCCTGATAAATCAACCATGTTCTCTCTAATGAATGGCCCCATATCCCAAAAGCACATATAAGGACAGCACAAATTAGCCTTGGTGAGATTTTTTTTTAAAGAGGACATTAAGTTAGGAGAAGGGTAGGGATGAATCTGGAAGACATTAGGGGAAGAGTGAGGACTGAATATGAGCAAAATACATGTATCATATTCTCAAAGAATTAATACAAATATTACATTGAACTTTATAATGAAGGAAAAATTTAGGAAGGTATTTTAAGATCAACAAAAACTGGGGAAATTTGTAACTGGTAGACCTCCCCTACAAAGCATGAATGACCACTAGATAGTGATTATCAGCCTACATCAATAAAGAACTTGAAAGCCAGGTCTACTAATTCACATCTGTAATTCTAGCATTTGGGAGGCAGAGGGAGATAGATCACTCAACATTTGTGGCCAACAACATCAGCATAATGAATTTCAGGCCATCCAAGGCTACAGAATAAGACCCTGTTTTAAACAAAACAAATACCAATAAAACCAAGAAGACAGACAAATATGACAACTAGCATAAATATATTTTTTGTTTGTAATTTTCTTCTATCTAATTTTAAGTGCGACTGCATGAAGCAGTTATTATAAATTCATTTGATGGGTATATAATATATGAAATCGCAATCAGAGTTTTAAAAATACCAAAGTGAAAAGACAAAGAAGTTCTATTAAAAAGTACAACTTTTGTGTACTATTGAAATTAATAGCACCAAAGTGTTTTAGGTTGTTAGCTATAATTCTAAAGGCAAGTAGTGAGAAAATAAATTTTTAAGAAAAAGTTTATGACCCAGCAATTATGCTTTAGATCAGAGAGAATGAAAAACATATTCGCACAAAAAAATCCAGCAGCATTCATATCAACTAAAATGAAGGGAAAACCTGTATGTCTCTCAATAAATGAATAAAACAAAAATATTTATTCATCACAGACATATCAGCTATACAAAAGAATGTTGCACATGCATGAACCTTAAAACCATGTGCTCCATGAAAAAGGATAAGCAAAAGGACAAGGACATATACTATTCAATTCCATTATAAGAAAAATGTCTAGAAGAGACAAAGCTATAGAGAAAGACAATAGACTAGTATATGTCAAACAGACAT